TCTAAAACGCGTTGACAAAGTCAAACCAGACGGTTTTAGTTTTTACGGCATTTTTATAGTGATATGAGAAAAGTCGGATAATTGCTGTTAATTTTAAGAAATAAAGTTCGGCATTTTTCAACCTCGTTCGGTATAATATAATTTACTGATAATTTTTTCCGCTAAGGAGGAACACATGGACGAAGGATAAAAAAAGAGGTATTCTGAATGTACATGTACACATCATTACTATAATTGTGTACTCGGGATTAAACCCAAAATCCTTCGTTACATTGTATTTGGGTATGATTTTCACATGTTCTCAGGCGGATAATCATTTATTTTTATCTGTCTAAAGACAATAATTTCAGTTAATAGAGAAATGTTTTTATTTCGTCGTTTTTTTCCCCATCCTTTTGGTTTACACGTTTGCTTGTACACAAAAGCGTGTGTTCATATACCGCTGTTTCTACACGGTATCGATGTGATCAGGGAGAACATGATATCCTCCAGCAATTTACTTCTTATGAAAACACTCAATGAAAACATATTAGGTGAAAATATATACACCCATTAGTATCTTAGTACCTTAGTATCGACCTGTTTAATTGCAATGTCACCAACCGTAACGATCGCTGGCCAGGATTTGAATATAATTTATTACCGTTATTAAAACAACTCGTCAGCTGAGTGGACCTATGATTTAAACAGTAAAATAGGGAAATTCCAGAGTTCGAAGTGTATTTATTTTGGGCGCTCTTCCGCATAAACAAGTTAAATCGCATTTACGCGTACTTACATGCATGTACCAATAATTTGTGTCATGGGTAAATTCAATTTATTAGATGAAATAAAACAAATGCATAAGATTAATCTTCCTAAACAACGCGTTTTTAAAACAATCTATCTGATATAACTGACGGTATAAAATAACAAAGAAAATAAAGGGTTTGTGGTTGTATTTAATTTGGAATGAGAACAAATCTTAACCTGTCAAATAACTTATAAAACATACTTCGTTTTCCAGACACTAATTGCCATGCGTAATCTTCACATGCACGGACCAAGAGGTCACAAGTTTGAAATGTATCCATGCTTCTCATTGCGTGAGTTTTGTCAACACATGTCGGAGTAGACTATCTAAGCCAATTGATTCCCAAAGAAAACTGCATAGGAAGGGTTCTTTTTTGGTACACTTTTGAACGGGTAAAATTCATTCGACGCTCGATAGAATTTTCAAATACAAGTGAAATATTGAGGCGCTTAAGTTACATGCGTCCGACCTAGTATTTTGTATGCAATAATATTGTAAGTTAGGAAGAAAATAATACAAACTCAAAAGTACTTAATTTTATTTTCGATTTTCCTGACGATTAAAAATGTGACCTCTACATACAATTATCGTTTTTAATTATATACATCCTGTTTAATGTTCATGAAAGAAATAGCAACTCGTTAAATAATAACATATATAAGAGAGATAAATAAACTGTTTCTTTAATACGCAAACAAAGTGGTCTTTTCGGCATTCAAAATGCATTGAATTTGAAGTGAATAAGTGAAAGGCACTTAAGACTAGCTGATTAAAACGAGCGAGTGATAATTAAACAGTAAGACGGAATCATATGAAAGATTCGAAATGATTTTAAAGTAATTTTCCACAAAGCGCAATTATCTCAACAATGCAATGTTTATAAGAATAAATATGCAACTTTCTTGTAATTGAGCGAATAAAATATAAATCGAAATGTACTAGCGACTTAATCAAAGATATGAAATAATCTGAAAGATTAAACATATTTATCCACTCATCACTTAGTTAAAATGTATTTGGAATGGTCATTCTATGGTTTGTTTTGTGTATGACCTTAGGTCGCTGGTTCACACGCCGATTGATCCTCGGTGACCTCCTTTGCCACGCGCTATCGAGGGAGGGGTTACATAATTGTAAACACACGAGGTGAATGTAAAAGGCGTGTACTTAATGGCTGTGAATAGTCTATGTTTAAAGTTTTGTTTTATTTTCTAACTTTATTGTTTGTTTTTATATGATAAGAAGAAAAGGTTATCTTTTCTTCCCTGTTTAGTAGACTGGTTTATCCAAATTTGAAGACAAACGAAATAAAAGGGAAAGTTGTCAGTAAATAATTTGGAAATAAAGCACAAAATACTTCAAAAACCTGATTCTAAAGAATATTAGCATCTAATATAGCAAGATTTATTATTTATAGTAAGTTTATTTTAATTACACGCATGAAGAGCTCTTGTTTACTTGCTGAATGAAAACACTTACCTGTATATGTGTTATGCTTCTAGCTCATTTAGAACACAAGACTCAAACAAAATAACATTTTCTTGAGATCAATAAGATGTTAAATAACAACTTTAATTACGGCAGCTATTTCGAAATATTTACCGTTTTTGAGTTATAAAGCAAAAACTTTAAAGGGCTCCAGATCCCTAATCTTAGGGGCCAGACCCTTTTTAGTGGTCTCAAATGAAAGGCCTTAAAATTGTGCACAACTTTTATTCTACATGTTTTATCAAAATATTTTTAGTTTAGAAGATAAAAAGGAAAATATGTGTAAATTTTCGCTCTTTTTGGCGTTCTAATTTTTGACCCCTCTCTAGCGCCATTTTGAATACAGAAATTGAAAAACAAAAACCGATGTGCACAACTTCAGTGCTTCTATTATTTAAATTCGGTAGAATTTCTACTCCAGCTTCAGTAGTCTCTGAGCCTTTGTCTGGAAACGAAGCCTAGTAAATTTTCATTTAAAGGGAGATAACCCAAAAGCGGAAGTGGGTTTTTGAAATGTTTGACAGCATTCTGATAGAATTTTGTAACGTCTTTAAACCCTGCAAATTTGAGCAAAATCCGTTGAGAAATGAGCAAGATATGAGGTCTCAAAGTTGGCGTCTAGGAAAAAAAAAAAAAGAATAATAAGAATAATCTTAACCATCAGAATCAGTAGAAGGTCTTCCGCCTGGAGCGGAAGACCTTAATAATCTTAACCATCAGAATCAGTAGAAGGTCTTCCGCCTGGAGCGGAAGACCTTAATTATGATGACTTAAATTTGAAAATGAATATGTTGAAGAAATCGATAAGTGAAGTTGATTTTCTTTTTCAAATTTCACTTACATTCATGTGCCTATTTTTATCTCGCGATATTCTATTATTTTGTCAAACAATGACATATATAGGCTCACTATTTATTTTTGTATTCATGATTGTAACACATGTCACTATAATAAATAACCTATGTACTTACTGTATGATCATGTTCTTATAACTTCTATTTTTGATGGTTCTTTTTGGATATGCTTTGAATGTCTTTCCGCAAAACTACACCAGAATCACAGAATGATGGAGAAATGTAAAGCAAAAGAAATATACATTGCATAAAAAATAATGCATTTAAAAAATAATATTGAGCAAGCAAAAGAGGTTCGACCGTAGCTTGTACTATAAATACTCGTATTATAATAATCAGTCTATGCTCTTAGATACACATTATCCCCTGCATGTCGTGAAGAATTGGGTTACAATCTAAATCTCGTAATTACAGCTGAATTTTACAATTTTACAATCATTGACAGTTTATGGTCATTAAAGATCAATGTCTGGCATGATCCCAACAGACACCAATGATACTCTATTACGTCATCCCATGGACGCAAATGTGTATGCAAAACAGTATAGGAATTCCATCCCGATCTAACTGTAGAGCTTGGGTCAGCTGTAACAGAGTTTGAGGTTGCAGTTGTCTTTAGGAGTTAGTTGTTTTTTTTTTACAACATAGAAATTAAATCAAATTTGCAAAAAAAAAAATCATATTTGAATACTCATGGATCAAGAAAAGCATCCAAATATATTCGAATATTCGATAAAATAAGTTTCCTTAACTTTAAATTTGTAACGTCCTAAAAGGTATTTGGAAGTAAAAACTGCATGTAGAATATTGTAGGGGTGCAGGAAGAATTTCACATGTAATATTTAAAATTAATTTTATAATTATTGATTTTAAGTGTATACAACCCAATTATGTATTTTTCAAAGTACTTTGCTCATTTACCATACTCGTCTTGGTTTTGTGGAAATGTAACGTTGAAAAGGGACAACGCTGCAGATAGAAACCACGCATGCCAATAGTTAGGATAATGAAGTTGAGCTTATCTTTTAAAATGGTAAATTGTTACTATTGAAAGGAATTTTTTTTTACATTCACAGTTTGAAACTTTGTAATTTTGCAATGGGACGGATCTCTCATCATGCTAGATTTCAGAAAGTAACTCTGAAAATGAAACCTTATCTAACATAGAGAGCAGAAAATACAGTTATCATCTTGCGCTATGAAGTCATATTAATAAACAGAAACTACAAGTTACAGGAGCTGTACTGTGTCTGTGTCTAGGCGAGGGGGGAAAGTCAAAGTCAAGAGTACAAGAGAGAATCTTCATGAATTTGGCATTGGAGGTAATGCGATTCACTGCGAGAGTTGAGGAAAAAGATTATAACATGAAACAGGTCATCCTTAATTAAGTGAAACAGCAATTCAATAAAAGTTAAGTGAAATAAAAAAAATAAGATAACCAATCACTTACAAAATGTATATTGTTTTCTCGTTACACAATATCCATTGTACCAATGTGACTTTAATTCGTGCGAAAAACCATGTGAGTTTAAAAAGTTCGTGAAGCTATAGAGAGAGAGAGAGAGAGAGAGAGAGAGAGAGAGAGAGAGAAGCAAGTTTTATTGACTTGCTTTAATAGCCACTCGGTCTAGCGTGCTGTTCCTGCACTGCCAGGAGACAGATTCTGCAGGTTGAACCCCAGGTTGGGGAGGAAGTGAGTATCCTTATCAAGTGAATTTTTCTGTGCTTTCGGCTATCAAAATTGACCGAAAGTAAATAAGACAGGGATAATTCTGGTGCTGTTCCAATTAAATTATCATGATTATGTTGTTTCTTTTATTTTAAATTTGTGAATTAAAACAAACAAGGATATTCGAATTCTCACTCCACATTCGAATATCAATTCATAAAGTGAACATTTGATTATTCATTGACATTTCTTATATTAAATATGAAATCTTTCTCAAATGTCTTTACTCCTATAGACTTTTATATACACGTACAACAGTACAAGTGTAGGCCCAAGTATCTGTACAACGTAAAGGACAATGAGAGATGTACACTGTAATCTGCAAGTTAAATACATGTATTATAGAATTATAACATGTCGGGGAGGTCCTTGCATGACTTTATTGCACCAGCTAAGAACTCAGTGTAATTGTACGATAAAATCATGGGCTGACCGATATCAACACGCTGCAGTTAGTGCTTTATAGTTAAAGCGAGCTATGGTAATATCAAGTAATAGTATTATTTCCCTCTGATTACACTTAAATTTGAACTTGACAAGGCAATGGTGACTTTTGCGTATAATATCAAAGCAACTTTTATCAAGGTAATTGTATTTTAGCATTTTAACTTATTACTGCATCATCACTTGTGCAGAATAGCCTCGATTATTTTTTTTTAATTTACGAAAACACGGGGTTTAAAATATTATTCAAAATTCAATACAGAGTTTTAGAAAAAGAGACGTATTGATCTTTATACAGACCACTCAAACAGCGTAACTTGCAATAAAACTTGCAAATAAAACTCAAGAACATGTAACTTACATGAAATTGACATATTTGTTAAAGATCTCAATCTGAAAGAAATTCAGTCAACTAATATAAGTTGTAACGGTAATGGTACTAATATTAGATGCTTCATTTCAGACAAATAAATTTCCACGAAAACGTAAATCTTAAAGTGAGGAATCATTCACATATCAATCTTCGATCATCAAATTCATTGATGTCATTCATTGGTTTTAAAATTTTGCAGTTTCTCCGAACTGTGTCTCTGCTGTTGGTTGTGTTGGATAACTTCCGGTAGGTGACTGAGTAGGGTAGCCTCCATATGTATATTGTGGATACCCTGTGCTGGGATAGGAAGGGTTACTCTGATTTGTCATCGGAACTTTAAAATAAAACAGCAAGGTAGTTAATAAAAAAAACATTGAAAAATATTGTATGTTTATTTCATTTTTTTTTTTCAGTGTTTAGCATTTTTCCTTTTCGATTTTGTCATAATCCAATAAACAGTATTTTTTAAATTCTTCTAGAACTGTTCATTAATGCTATGAGATGCATGTCTTAAGCAATAAATAATTATATTAAAAAATGATGAATCTATAATTTAATTTTTGGATATTATTATTCCTATGATATAAACCCAATGAAAATATAGAGACCTGAATTTCCCGGGTTGTGAACATATCCTGGTGACCTTCGCCTTTTACAAGCTATACATAGTAGGACTGCGACGACCACAGTAATTAAAATAATTCCACCAAATACTCCGCCGATCAAACCGCCCACTACAGCCCAATCTGTGTAAAACAAAGGTAGGTAAATTTATTTTAATTCTCTCTTTTTTCTCGTCATAAAAAAATATGAAAAAATCTCGACATAAAAATGCTAGCAAATTTCAAACAAAATATATTTGATATATATAAATTTCTGATAGAACTATGCATATTGAAAACTTGACTTAGTACTGCTATCAAATTGACAAGTTTTTATCTTTAACAGACACACATAAATTAAAAAATTTCTTCCTAATTTTTATTTAAGCCACGCTTTCTGTTCTCTTTTAGTTTTTCATTTAAGTTGTAGAAAGCAAAATTATTATTAACAAATACAAAAGAAGCATCGGATTTTACACAGGGACTTTTGTTAAGATACGTGTTGTGTTCCGAGGAATTCTGCAAATACTACGTAGTATTCATCTGCGCGCGCACAAGACACGACACACTTTATTTACAATACAGGTTCTGATTACTAATAATTTATTTAAGCTGTTTAATTATGTTCCCCAAACGAAGTTTGGGAACATATTGTTTTTACTCTGTTTCTTATTATTATTATTATTATTATTATTATTATTCTTTTTTTCTACTTTCTTCTCCGGTACTTTTTTGTCCGGGAGTGTTCTCATAGAACCTCTCATCCGATTGACATGAAACCTTTTTAGGGTTAATAGGCATGTTGTGTAGGTGTGCGGAACAAAGGTCATTTTGTGCGCACATGCATGCACGTGCGCGCGCGTGCATTGAGTGAAATGACTGATATACTTGATAAAGCCGTAACTTTTATATTTCTTGATGAATTGCTTTGAAACTCAAAATATAAAGATATATTAGTAGTCTAGACAAGTTGACATGGTCAAATTAGCATGAACTCACGCGCATGCACGTGCGCTCTCCTCTGATTGGCTGATACAAAAATCTCAATAATTTCCTTGTTTTTTGACGAAATACTTTGAAATTTAAAATATAAGTATATATTATAAGGTGCTACAACATGTTACATAGGAAATCTCTTGAAACCACGCGCAGGCAGGTGTGCTGCAATCTGATTGGCTGAGACTTTAAATGTCTATAACTCATTTGGTTTTCAACAAAACATGATGGAATTTACGACATGGATATGCTCATAGGGCTCCTACATTATGATACTATCAAAATTGAATGCAAGGCCATGCATGCGCGTATGCTGAATTCTGATTGGCTAATACTTAAAGGGTTACATCTCTCTTGTTTTTCAATGAAATTCTTTAATATTTAACACAAATGTATGTATTGTGAGACACTATAAGAAAATTAATGTGAAAAATGTAGAAGCAAGCACATGCGCTGAAATTTGATTGGCTAATACCCATATGGCTATATCGGAGTAGTTTTCCAATGAAATACCCTTATAAATAAAGTGTCCATCTATACTACAAAAGTATAGTCTAATTTATTGAAGCTTGTAGGGAATGGGGCATCATAAGGAATTGGGGAGCCGTTTGGGGAACATCTGTAATGGTTCCCGTTACAATTAGCACTAGTTATTATTATTATTATTATTCTTTTTTTCTACTTTCTTCTCCGGTACTTTTTTGTCCGGGAGTGTTCTCATAGAACCACTCATCCGATTGACATGAAACCTTTTTAGGGTTAATAGGCATGTTGTGTAGGTGTGTGGAACGAAGGTCATTTTGCGCGCACATGCATGCACGTGCGCGCGCGTGCAATGAGTGAAATGACTGATATACTTGATGAAGCCGTAACTTTTATATTTCTTGATCAATTGCTTTGAAACTCAAAATATAAAGATATATTAGTAGTCTAGACAAGACAACATGGTCAAATTAGCGTGAACTCACGCGCATGCATGTGCGCTCTTCTCTGATTGGCTGATACAAAAATCTCAATAATTTCCTTGTTTTTTGACAAAATACTTTGAAATTTAGAATATAAGTATATATTATAAGGTGCTACAACATGTTATATAGGAAATTTCTTGAAAACACGCGCATGCAGGTGTGCTGCAAACTGATTGGTTGAAACTTTAAATGTCTTTAACTCCCTTGGTTTTTAACAAAACAGGATGAAATTTAAGACATGGATAGGCACATAGAGCTCCTACATTATGATACTATCAAAATTGAATGCAAGGCCATGCATGCGCGTATGCTGAATTTTGATTGGCTAATACTTAAAGGGTTACATCTCTCTTATTTTTCAATGAAATTCTTTAATATTTAAAACAAATGTATGTATTGTGAGACACTATAAGATAATTAATGTAAAAAATGTAGCTATTAGATTGGCTCATACCCATATGGCTATATCGGAGTAGTTTTCCAATGAAATACCCTTAAAAATAAAGTGTCCATCTATATTACAAAAGTATTGTCTAATTTATTGAGGCTTGTAGGGAATGGGGCATCACAAGGGATTGGGGAGCCGTTTGGGGAACATCTGTAACGGTTCCCGTTACAATTAGCACTAGTTAACTAATAAGGTTTATTACGCATTTATCTCGTGATATGTAAGTTACGAAATATGTGTACAATCTGTCAGTAATAAATGCTAAGTAATTTCAAATATGACCTTGCACTGAGTATAAAGAGACCTTGCACTGAGTATAAAGATTACACACTTAAAACTAAAAAAATATTAAATTACAACAAAAGCTGAGAATAATACAAAAAATTCTATATTATATGTACAATAGTGAACATTTAAAGTTTCAACACGTTTAATTATGTGTACAGGATTTTTTACCACATTCGAATGAATGCAGTCATGTTAGTTTACTCAATAACGAGTTTTTCATAAAAAAGAAAAGATATTTCGTTCAAAAATGATTCCATGTTATCTCCTTCAAAAAGAATCTTATGTCATATATATATGTACTTGCCTGTTTCCTCTTCTTCTGATGTTATCAGTAGGTCAAAAGATGCTCTGGATGGCGACTTTGTGCTTATTAAGTTAAGGAGGATGTAGACTGAAGAATCTCGACAATATTTCTTCTTATTATTTTCTCTGCACGTAATGGTCTGAAAATTAGTAATTGTAAAGGATTACGCATAGTTAATGTTGATATTCTTGTTTACAAACTTAAAGGTATGAAAATTGTTAAAATACAAATGAAATCAGTGTTATTATATAAATTCATTTAAATAATTTCAGGATTTTTTTCCTTAAAATCCAGGTGTCAATTTCAATTTTATTCTCTTTCTTGCTAAACGATTAAAGGTCACAAATGATTAATCCTACAAATTTTTAATTCCTTTAATTGTGAGAATTTGTCAATTCGTCAACGTGCGAGCTTACTATTTGTGCAAATTTTGACATTGGTGGAAAAAACTACCCTAGAAAATGAACACCTCTTAAACCATTCTGTAAACTGATAAAAGAGAAAACAAATTTCAGCTCTGGAGCTGTTAACCTTACATGTTCTGTAGCCTCTGTCCAGGATTCTTTAAACTGGAGTATTATTACACAATCTGGATCGTTAAATTCCTTTATCGTAACACACACGTTACAGGAATCCGAATTTTCATTGCATTCAAATGCCATGCCATTGCAAAAAACCCCTACATTCTTGCTACCTCTGTAATATACTGTCATCGGTTTATCTTTCGATAACTCCTTCGTGCTGACAAAGCAATCTTTTCCAAATGTATCTGGAAATGAGATCGATTGATATTTTATAAATGATTTTGCTCACCTAAGCCAAAGACTTGGGAACATTCTCTCCAAGTTTGCCCGTCTGCCTGTTTTATCACATTTTTGAGATCTCTAGAATGAATGGTCAGAACTAACTTCAATCAAAATTGATATAAAACAACCCTGGATGATTGGGATTCCTTATTGTAATTCATACTTATTGATGTAAGAACTGCTTTCTGGTATAGTAAAGAATACGTATTAAATGGTTAACATGAAAACATTGTCTTTAAAAACAATCTCCTCAAAAACAACTGAGTCGAGAAAAAAAAGCTCAGATGATGGCTTTCTTATTTAGAGTAGGTCAAGTTTGTTCCAATGATAACTCTCGGGATTGAGATTGACCATACAATGGGTCAAAGCCCACATTTAAATATATGGTGGAACAATTAAAATCTCCTCAAGAACAGAAGTGTGACATTTAAGGTGGTATGGGATACCAAACGAAACTTCTCCTACATATTTATGTACCCAAATTAGAAGGATTTGAAATACCACCACCTTTCAGTATATTAAAGTGTAATTTTAATAATTTTTTTATTATTTTAATGAGAAATACAAAAACGATTTTTTTTCTTGCATAATTCTTTTTTCATAAGCTTAATATTATAGGCAGGCGTTTGCTAATATAAAGTGTTTATAAAAACAAAAATGACAAGAAATGTCTTAGTATTTTTTTAATTTTCAACAAAAAATAAGCGTAAAAAACTGGGAAAACTTTATTTCTTGAAAACAGACGGATAACATTTCATGAAAGTCTACAATAAGAATGTATCTTAATATGTTAGCAAAGTGAAATAAACAAATTGAAAATATACATATAAATGGAAAATATAAAATGCATTTAAAATTTTTTGAATTAAAAGATCCGAGCGGAAGAGTTATCCTTCTTTATTTTCCAAGGGTTGAAAAAACCTGGGTGCTATTTTAGAAGTGATGAGCATTTTTTCCCAACCATAAAAAAATCGCACTTTGTAGTTTTAAACTTTGAGCGGTTTTGAAAACAATGCATGGACAATCGCTTTCCAGGACGTGTCTTGTTCAGAGCAATTGCATTCATCTGAACGTTTTGGGACTATATACAACAGCTAGCTGTTTTGTGACCAAACAGTTACTTCTTGAATTAAATAACAAAAAAGTCCAGCTCTGGTTAACGTGATAATTGATTGGTGATAATTCAGCACAATGTGAAGTAATCGCACTTATCCATGCCTCACCGCACACAAGGTGCTGTACAGTTACTCAAACAATTGAAATACAGCTTTTGCTTAAAAGTGTTCAAAAGCAGCAATGTTGAAACTACCTTTTACAGGGGTTTGCGTTTTTAAATGTCCGTTGTACAATTATAAGTAAATTTATATACTTGCGATTTTTTTGTCTGTTTTTACTTAAAATGCCGACTTGTGAGAACTTGCATTGAAATAGGCTTCAGAGTGTTCTTTTCAACGGTGTATCTACAAATTTTGACCCGATAATAAGCACTCATGCAAATCAAAACAATACTTCAAACGGAAATACGTCATAACGTAGAGGTATCCCATACTACCTTAATCGTATTGAAAATCATCCTCAGTAGTAGTGATTCAGTTTTCTTTCTTTTTTTCCAAAAATGCCTCAAAGCACTACAGTAGAACCATAGATGGTCTGACCTAGGAATATTTAGGCAGATGGCATTTGGCATCTTTATAAAATAGATTAGTAGTATAAGTGATTATATTATGATAAAACATTCCATTTGGTGAGGATTCAAGCTTGTTCAAAATTAAGTTCACTAAAGTGTCAGATGAGGGGTCAAAATTATAGATTGCAAAATACAGGAAATGATCTTTTTTTTTTCAAGAAGAGAAAGACTACAATCATTCTGTTGTACAAGCATTCCCATGTAGTTTAAACTCAATTTTGCTTTCAAATCATTGCACCAGGAAGAGGCCAAAATGGGAATCGAAGTTTTATGTAGGAATGCATGGGGAAAAAGTCTTTAAAATATTTTTTTTCAGGAACAACAGGTCATAATCGGTTATTTTAAAATACAAACATTCTAATTTGTTGAGATTAAAGACAATCCAAAGCATGACCACTGAGTCAAGGACAGGGGCACTAAAAGAGGTGCTTTCAATGTTTTGCATTAAATTATTGTAACGTCTTTGATATATCTTTTCTTTGAATCAATTGGGTTTAATATAGGTTAGTTTTACAGTTAAATAAATAGGAAGGAAACAATAAAAAAGATATGAACACGGCCATATGATATGCAAATTTTCCAAACTAACATAGTTTTAAGGGTTTTTTAAATGTTTTTTGTTTGCTTTTTTATCATTGGTTATTGTAGCTAGGTTGGGCCAAAATAAGGGTTCAAAGATTTAAACAAGCAAGAGAGAATGCTTGAATTTATGCAGAAACAATAAGATTATAATTTTTACCTTTACCTCAAGCCTTAATGAACTGTAATTAATTTAAATTGCTGATATCAATATATTTAATAAGTTGATGGTACAGGAAGGACCTTTGTTTGCTAAATGTATCATGATACTTATTTTTATCCTTATAGATTTTTTTCCAGGTCACTTTGCATTTGACAAAGAATATACTGGTGAACATGGAGTTTTAAAAAATCATTGCTGTAATACCCCAGCTGGTTTACTTGGTATATTGATGAAAACCATGATTTACAGAAACAATGATATTATTTCATCTGCTGTGTTAATTATAAAACCAATAGAGAAAATGACTACTTACAATTTCGATAGGACTCTGCTTGTATACATGTTGGGAGGATCAAATATAAGCTGGAAATGGTAACAGCTACTCTGGATCCTAAAGCCGTCATTTTACTCTTTAGAATTGAAAGGAAAATCGTTTTATTCCATTTGAATGTATTAAGTGCTCGCATGTTTTTTTATTCAAACAAAAAATGTAGATAGAGGAAATTGCATATTTATACTGTAGACATACACGTACAGATTTCACTGTCACAAATACATAGAGAGAGAGAGAGGGGAGGGGGGAAATGGAGAGAGATACAGACGGACAGATATCTACATAACAGTTACAAACATCCGTCTTATTAAGTAAAAACCAAGTTATTCAGATGTTAACATTATTTCGAAAATCATGAAAAGTAGGTATGTACATGTAATTTTCTCTCAAATCTATGGACAAGTATGACTTTCCTATTTTTTCGATGAAATGGTAGTATGGAAACAATGTTGGACATTTACAACGGAATGCAAAACGTATTGATTAATTAACATACCTTTTTATGATCTATCCTAGTATTTAACCTTTAAATCATCCACCATTTATGTATGGTCACGGTCCTACGATTTAATCCACTGTGGCATTGTACTTTAAATAAATAGGCCATATATATATACCTCGTCTGTTTTTTAAATCAACCGCTTGTCTTTAAAAAAATAATTCTTGCATAATACAAAGAAATTGTCAAATATATCGGATCTTTTTTCTGTTTAATTTAAAACTGTATTTATAACAGCTTTAATTAAAGCTGACATGAATTCTTAAAAACGCAACATTTGCATCAATGTATGACTTGTTTCATACCAACTAGCCGTATTTCGCCATATTTCTTTCAGATACCCTGTTGTAACGAAAAATACCCGTGCCCCCGTTACACTTGAGTGAATATTTGGTTTGGCTATCGACGCGTGCACATCTCCGATAGTAAAGTATTTTGGAACACATGAATTGTTGAAAACATTTTAAAATCATAACAGATAAAAACAGTCATAAAGATATTTATGAATAATTATCGTTTTGAATAATATATATGCAAGTTTGGAAGAAAAAACAAAGGTGCGCGTGTTTTTTTGTTTTCTTTTTTTTTTTTTTTTTCTTTTTTTTTTGTGTTTTTTTTTTTTTTTTTTTTTTTTTTGTTTTTTTTTTAAATATGCATAATAAACTTGAAGTGATACACAGTAAAATCGTACAAACAATTTGCAATAATGGAACAAACAACCAGCGTATTTGTTATGCACGTCCGTATGCATTCAACACAAGTACAATTGATGTATATCGAGAAAACACGTCGAACTCTGTAAACGTATTCATACCTGGAAATAGACCACTGTACCCGTTCGAAGATGTGCACATGTCGAGTGATTTACACCTTGTATTCCATTTATTGAAATATGCATCACAAAAAAGTAATAAACTCCATAAATACTCAACAGTAAACAGTAATCACTTGTCACTTCATCGTACAGCCTTGCACTCAAATACACTTAGTCCGTGCTGATCAGATTTTGGTCAGGGAAAATATCAAAAGTAAAGAAGGGAATTAGTATTTGCGCGACTAGGTAAAAAAAAAATAAGAAATCAGTAAAAAAAAAAGTCTGATTGCTGATTATCTAAAACTAAACTGAGTAATTTGATGTAAGAAAATGATTTAGAGCACGACATGAAAGTATTTAACTAGAACACAAATTAACAAATATACATACACGTGGAGCAGGGGTGGGGGGTACCCCCTTTTCTGAGAGTGTCTTTCAGACACCTAGCAACTAAGGAATCATTGACACTTTACCTGAAAAATCTTTGACAAGCAGAAAAATTAATAATAAAAATTATAATAGTAATAATAAAAAAATTAAAAAATTAAAATTAAAAAAAATCACCAAAATCCTATTTTGTGGTAGTGATGGGGGGGGGGGGGCAACTTTTTCGACGATTTGAGTATAGTGCAACAAAAAGTGGATCAGCCTTTTAGTGTGCATTTCATACTTAACAGTAAAACATTATGCTCGGAAAAAAGTGGGAGGGGGCATCCCCCCACGCGTTCTACAGGCCTGTCTTTTATGGTTGATTTTGTAAGGATTTTTTTTTATTTTAAGACTGGTTGCCACCTCCCCCTTTCCCACTCATTTCTGCCGAAAATGATAGTATAATCGAATGAAATCTGTCCTTCCCCTGATTACGGATTTTTTTAAATGCCTGTTTTCCTTCTTCACTTCTCCTAATTTTTAAGTGCTTAAAGTTTTTCTTTTGCTTGTCAATCATTTTACTACCCCCCCCCCCCCCCGCTCACACATTTTGAGAAACGGTGCTACTTGACTCTTTTATATGCATGTAAAGGAAGCCTTTCCAGACTGGAGAGTTTCCGCAGGCAGTCTAAAATTTGGTACCTATTCAATTTCTTGTATTTTGCGAAAATCTTGAAAGATAGTATAAGGATTACTTGAAACTCTAACCGCAAGATTATGGATAAATATTGTTAAATGCATTTTTAATGCAAGTATACTCTCTCTCTCTCTCTCTCTCTCTCTCTCTCTCTCTCATGTGTAGGCATTCATAAGAGCAATAATGCATATAAAATCCGATGTAGTAAAAATCATGGGAAATGCTATAGTCTTTACAAGGGCAAATTAAGGAACTTAACAATTGTGAAAACTATATTTCAAGGGAATGGAAACATGTTTCTGTTATACCTATTAGAAGCTCTGAAGAGCACAGAGGGTTCCTACCAGAAATTTTTAGATAAGAGAAAAATAATAATAACCAATATCAAAGTATTTGGGGGGGGGGGGGGAGGGGGGAGAGATGGACACTCTCAGGGGCACGTTTTTTTTTTCCTTTCCTATAAACTTTGACTATTAATTATAATTATAATATCTAAAGAAATAATACACATGCACGCAACCATATTTTAATCATTCAGTCACATTACAAAATTTCTTTAAATATGTAGAACATGTAAATATGTGTAATTGTTAAAAAAAAAAAAACTTTATGTAATGTAATGATTAGTACTTTTGCATCGCCTCGTGATATCTTTTGCAATGCAAGGATTGTTGAATCTCCCCGCTTCACATTTGGGTACATGGTAGAACTATTTCAATTATCAATATTACTTTCATATATACTAATAGTGTAATGCTTACCCAACTTCAATGTATTCAAAAACATGTACTGTAGATTTATACACACATAACTATGTCTGTGCTTGTTGATAATTGTATCAATCGTGTTTGCAATTTGTGACGCCTGAAAGGGCCCTGATTTGAAAATAATCTATCTACAGAAACAAATTGTTCAGTGTGTGTAAATTTAAGATATATCAGTTTTACATCTAAAATAGTTGAAACCAGTTAATTGTACGTATTTAAATATATTTGATCAAGGAAAATCCGACCTTTTTCCTACGTTTGTTAAAAATATATTGAAAAATGTATTATACCCCCCACCCCACCCCCACCCCACACACACACTTTCATTTAAAAGATGTAAGATCCGTAACAAGAATGTATATGTAATAAATTTGATGTAATGAAGCTACTTTAATAAACATATTTACATTCAAAATGTGAACTTAGTATTTAGCTCAAAGTACTCATCATTGAGAGGTTTGGAGTGATGACAAACAATATTTGTACAATTTACAACCAAAATAAGTAAAAAAAAAAATACATGCATTTTTGCTTGTGTCATCTGTCCTAAAACACATTATTTTCGTTTTTGTGGTTTTAATTTTCGTTGTTTTTATGGTATGAAGGAACCCACGAAGTCAAGTCCTTCGCGAAATGTAAAATTTCAAATGCTTCAAAGACTTTGTCAACCACGAAATCAAATCCTCTGGAACCATTTTTCCCCCTCAAAACAAGAAAATTTGACTCCACGAAAATACGTGACTTTACATATTCATGCAGGCCCCAGTATCATGAAACGGACTTAAACTTAAGTCAAATTTGGTTATTTATTATTTGAATAATCTCTAATTTTGCATATAACAACATTTTTGTAAAGCAATATTAACAAATATTCTAATTTTTGTCTGCTTGACGTCTACTTTATCTCAGAAAAACATAAAGATTTTGACTTAAGCTTAAGATGTTTCGTGATCCCGGGGTCTGATTTTGATTTTACCTGGGTAGAATCGATCATTCGGTACTTGGGACGACATATACATCTACATGTATACGGTAGCTATCACCTTGTTAACCAGTGACAATGTTCGAGCAAATCTTTTGACTCAAAACTTCCGAAAAAGTGCAGAGTACTGTTTTGATGAAAATCGATTTTTTAACTGTGTCTGATGTTTTAATAAAGTAATCATATTTAGTGCATTTCAAATGTACTGGTACCTACAATATCTCAATCTTTTATGATGAAAAGCATTAGCTCCATTTATTTATATCATCGAGTCAAATTAAGATGTTTCTTCTCAGCAGATACATCATACATGTATCTTAATTTAAATTTCCTGTGACAATTGTCAAGAGTAATATCCATATATACAGAGACTTTGTATCACTTTCAATTTTCAAATAAATAAACACAAATAAGAGCAATTCAAAATGAAGATTTATTCTGAATCTTTATAATCTTTTGATGATAATTTATATTTATAAGTTGAAAGTACATGTAATAGAAACTTAATGTATCCTCAGGAACTAAACAGGTCTCTCAGGTTTCTATTTTTTTCAAAAAATATTTGAGTCACTCCAAACAAGATTTTTCTTTTATATTAAGAGGGCTGGGTGGTCGTGGCCATTTTTAGACTATATTGATCTCCTTTAGAAGAAGAGCTCCATATAAAGATATACAAAAATGATCAAATTTTAAAACTAAAATGTATGAATTTTTTCTTTGCCAAATGATAGTTGACAGCTTAAGATATCATATCTAAAAAAAATAAGTTATAACTGATGGTTAATTCGTTGACCCCCAGCCTCCTTAAATTTAATCATTCGCGCAGCAATTGTCATTAACTCAACTAAACTATTCTTTTCGTATTACAGATTTTGATCTTATAAAGTATCCTGGTTTAAGCCAATACCAAGTACAATATATTAGTTTCATTGAAAATGGTGGAATT